GGAACCGCCAGTATAATCGCCTGGAGTCAGGCTGGAGAGGCCCTCGCGTTAAGGGGATCAGCAGGCCGCGGTTACGAACGCAGCTGCGATGAACGAAGCTTCATCTTCGGTAACATCGAAGGCAGGACCCTTTTCCTGTGAGGATAATTGTGGTCGCAAAGCAGCAGCTGTGGGGTTCGGTTACCATAGCATAGAGGGGGTTTATATCAAGAGCGTATGTTGTGTTTTATTTAATAAAGCAGAAGCCAGTACCAATACAGCATTAACGTAGCTTACGTTTAACTTTTAGTATCCTAGCATGCTCTTCAACACTGCAAAATAATTTATTATGCAGTAACAAAGTAACATGAAGAAGACACGATTAAAATAGAAATCTGACTCTGATAGGTATCATAGAGAGACAGAGAAGATCAACAATTTATAAACAAGCTTGATGTTATTTTTACTGTGATAGTTATTACAGCCAAGCTGTCAAGTGGTTTCAGTTATTAGATAAAGTTACATAAGGGTTTGGAAACATATATTTGAGTGGCCTATTGAATCTGGAGATCGAAAACGTATGTTCAAAATAATTTAAAAATATAGTTATGGACACCATTATTTAAAGGGCTTTATAATAACAATGAGATTACATCTGGTTTTACAAATGAGTCTCAAAGCATTCATCCTGGATTACTTCAAAGCTGAAAGTAATTGTGTGATTAGGAAAATAATATTTGATCTAACAAATGACATATAAGCTGCCGAATAGCTACACACACATTAAAGCTTGTGGATTTCCAGCAGCTGCTTCTAGAAAGGTTTAAATTGTGTCTCACTTTGTTTCTTCTCTGAAATTTCTTCAGTTGGTATTTAAAACAGCAAATACATTAGTTTTTATTATTTTTTACGTCAAAAAAGACTTGTTAAATGATTTCTGCGGTGCTATTTGCTGTATAAATATATGAGTATGTTATAAGAAGGCTAGTTTCTTGAATGACGGTATTTTTTTTCTTTCTTGGAGCCACCACTTCTAGTATTAAATAATTTAGAAGTCATCATGTTGTTGGTGATGTATAGCAATTAGCTTTTTTGTGGGGAGAGAAACCCTGTGAGCACCAACAAGAACTGTTGATGTTATTGTTAGCTCAGTATTCCTCAGTAGAACATATTTTGTGAATAGGAACTTCTAGCTGAATATTGCAATAAAGATATTAAACTAGCAACTAAAATTTGTGTATTTGATTTAGGGCTAAGTAGGAAAACTTGATCCTCTGTGACCACTACTGAATTCTGTGCAAGTAGTGCATATAGAACAGAAAGACAATCTGACTTTGAAGAGGTTTGAAAGCTATTCTAAAATCCCATATGCTTACCTGATAGCGTAAAGTTCACTTGATAATTGACTGGACACAGCCTTTCTATGAACTGTTTCTGATAATGTTGCTCATCTTTCTGGTGTATTGTGATTATGAAATATGATTCCTAATCATATGATTCCTAATGATCTTCAGAGCCTTGGATGTCCTGTTACTCCTTTTTTTTTTCTTTTTATTTTAACTATGCCCAAATAATTAGTATTTTCAGAAGACTTTTAACAGTTGGGAGTTAACCAATGTGTATAGAAATGTGGCTTTGTTATATTGATATAAACTAATGTCAGAAAAGATGGCAAAAATGCTAGCAAAATAAATTATTAATTTGTCTTTAAAAAAGTTACCTCAACAAACAGATTTCAGCATTTGACAGAGCTTTTGTTTCTCTGTACTTGACATACACAGTTTACACAGAATAGGTTCTCCCATTTCATCTTTTGTGAAATAAAAGGTTTAATAGTGCAATGTCGTCATATTTTTTCTTGCTGATTTCTCTTGCTTTAGTGGTTAAGGACTTGAAATAATGAACCTCACTCCTGGTTCTCTCTGTGTCTGAAACTACTTTTCTGCAGTTTGGCTCTTTTATCATTTTATTTAGAGTCAATGCTATGTTTTCAGACAGATTTTATTTTTGCTTTTCCATGAAGAGCTACACTGAGAAAGCATGCAGATTATATTTGAGTTACATCTACATGTGTATGTATACATTTACCTCTCTCAAAACCGTAAATTTTTTACATTGCTGAATTGAAAGATCATTATTATTCAGTCATTCAGATCATCTGATATCTTCCGAGAGTGAACACAGCCTGTAAATTTGGCATCTGGATATTTGAAAGTGTAATGCCTTGTTGGCAGTGTTCAATTTACTCACAGGGCTAAGGTCAAGACTTGGTTGAAGCCTCTCAAGATATTTAGAGATTTCTATTTACTAAGTACTGTACTTAAGGAATTAACAAGCTCGTATACAGTACCTAGCAAAATGGGAACTTTATCTTAATTGAATCCTCTAGCATGAAGTAGATAGGTGATAGTATCCCTTTTTGAAATGTTGTATTTGCTCAGAAATATTCCTTATCTGCTCTTTTCATCCCTTAGGAAAGTCTCCCCTCCTCCTTCCAGCCCTTGGCTGTTACTGCCTACCCACACAAACTGGTTTTTAGCTTGACTCTCCACTGCACCTCACTGTAAGCTCTGCCTGCTCAGCAGGGGCAGCAGCAGCTGGAGTTGGAGTGGCAATCGACTTGATGGGTTTATACTTGTAGTCCCAAATGCCAATTCTGGCACACCTACCACTGATTCATGTAATAGCTTTTGATTTTATTGTAACAGAGCTTGGTGATCCTCCTTTGGGATGAAGATTTACTTGCTCCAGGACAGAAAAAGGTGGCACTGAGCAACTGCAGCTCTGAGAATGTCTCTTTAAAAAAAGTTGCTACCTCTTATTTTAATCTAGCTAGGCAATGACAGATAAAGATGGAAGTATGTTTTCTATTCAGCTAGAAGTTTCATAAATTAATTGCAAACACCAGCATGAATTACCAAGACCCACTTTCATCAGACCGCTCATCCTTGTGTTGCCACTTTGGCAGATTGTGGTGTAGCTTCTTCTCATGAAGCAACTTTACCACTAGCCCTAAGGACTTTTAAAAAATTTTTTCTGGTCTCAAGAAAATGAGAATACCTTCTTAATGCATACATTCTTGCAGCCAATTGTACATCTTATTTATGGTGTGACTTGGTAAATTTTTTATTATTATTATTTTGCCTGATAATTTATAGCAGTTGATCATGGTTTAACTTACCTCTGTGTGATAAAAATATTAAGCCAGGTATATAACTCTACAAATAATGATGAATTTATGTAAAATCTTGCATATTACTAAATTGAAATACGTGACTACAGTTTCTTCACAACTGTGGCCTTATCTAGAAATGAATTCTTGAACTTCCCCTGAATGGATGCTTATGTAGATAACTGTTTCACCAGCCACCTGAACTTTTGCCTGCTTGCGACCTGGTCATGATTTTTTTTTTTCTGTAATTTCTCCATTTTTCTCCCATAATCACTTACCGTATCCATGGCTTGTTTCTTTCTGCTTATGTAGAACAGTTTCCATTCATGTCTAACCTTTAACAGTGTTAAAGCCCCATTTTTAATTCCCCGTGCTAATAGAATATAAATAATTTCAAATACATGTGAGATCCTACCAGACCAGGCCATAAGTGTTTCTTTTTTTTTTTTTTTTTTTTTTACAGTCAGCATCAGGAACCTGCAGATTCCTAGTATGATCACTTTAGTGATCTGTCGCCATAGGGAAGGTTGAAAAATAAGATAAATCAGCATATATACACTACTTGTGATGGGATTAAGACAACATCACCATACAGAATTTGCCCTCTTGGTAAATACAAGTAGTTACTAAAATTTGAGTTGTGGCATTCAGAAATCTTGATAGCTGACTAACATTCAGGATCTGTTCTTTTTATTCCCATCTGCAGCAAAGTTTGACAAAAAATAACACACACAGTGATAAGTAAGATACAGAAGCCTTATCATGAAGTTTTTATGCTACTGTGCAAGAAAGCTCGAAAAGATATTTTGGGTGCTCAGAAACAAGAAGCTGAATCCTTAATGCATTATCATTGAAGTCGTTAAGCTTTGTCTTAATGTCAGTCACAGTCTAATTTGGTGTGCTACAAATATTTATAAATAGCTGTCAACATTTAATTTGGATTTTATGTCCAGCAGGCTCGCAGATGGGTCAGGGACTCTGGAGAGTTGCTAGGAACCAGCAACTGCAACACCAAGGATACAGTGGACAAGGCTATCTTACCAGAGAACATGGTAGGAGGATACCTACTAACAATGTTTCCAATACAAGCCATCGCAAACAAGCCCAAGGAGGCATTGACATCTACCACCTGTTGAAGACGAGAAAATCTAAAGAACAAGAAGGATTCATTAACCTGGAAATGCTGCCACCAGAGCTTAGTTTTACCATTTTGTCATACCTGAATGCAACTGATCTCTGTCTAGCTTCATGTGTCTGGCAAGATCTTGCTAATGATGAGCTTCTCTGGCAAGGGTAAGCAAAAAAAAAAACAACAAAAAACCCAAACCAAAAACCCCAAAAAAACCCCCTAGTATCACCTGGACAAAGTAAAAATAATTATTAGATTTTAAAATTGTCTCAACATGTGCTTTTTATAATTCTAACCTTAGCAAAGGTTTCCTATGTTTGACATAGGGGAAGCATTAATATAGTTTTAAAATGTGTTATTCTGGATTTCTAATTACTATCAAGTATTAATGGAGGTTACTACATACACAAGTATGCTTGGTACGAGTATACATGTGTATTACTACACACCTGCTGTTTGAGGTATGATGGGGGAAAAAAGCAAGGACTTGTTTTCACTTTTGTATTAGCTCAAAGCATGTCTCAAATGTTTGTATTATTACTTCCCTGGAGTTCAAACAAGTACCTAGCTTGAGTAAACAAACCTATTCAGCTGAAGCTCCAAGTAGAAAGTGATGAGAACACATCTACTATACTTGTAATAGAGCAACTTAAGTGTATGTTTTTTGGAGGATGGTGATGGAAGGGGGAAAGAAAAGGTCAGTTCTGCAAATGTGTGGAATTTCTGTGGTATAACAGTTGAAACACATTCATATAACATATGTAGATTTGGTATGTCCAGGAAATAAAGGATCATTCTATCAAATAAAATAGTATAAGATCAAAATTTAATTAAAAATATTTTATTTGATATTTGGTGTTTTACAACACTAGGAAAGACTCGTGAAATCATACTTACCTTTAGAGTAGATGGTCAGCAGAACTTGTATCTTCTTTCACAACATAGTCTTACCCCATAAATTAACAGTAAGTAGTTAGAGAGTAAGTAGTATTACTGTAATAGTTGAGTTGTTGTTCAGGTCCTGTTTCTTTTCCTTTCATTGTGCTCTACATCTCTTCCTTCCTCATCTATTTCTTCACCCCTCTGCATTTGAATTAAGCAGCTTCCCTTTCTATCATGCTTTATGAACTCAGCAATAGGATAATGCAGTTATAACTTCTTAGTCACAATTGTTCTGCTGTTGGGAACTGTTGTCTTGGCAGGAAACAGGAATTCTAGTGAAGATCTTGCTAAGCTTCTAAGTTCATGTGTATCAAATAGCTTGGCAGTTGAGTAAGTATGCATTGTATTGTACTTGGTTCTTGGTATCAAAACCACACTAAATACAAATAAATTCCCTGGACTAAAGCTTGAAGATACTAGAGCTTCTTAATTGTATGCAGTATATATTCTTAACACACGGGGAGAATAAAGTACATAGAGTACAGAAGAAAGTACAGAGTTCATCCTGGGAAATAGTTCAATCATTTCTAGTGAAATCTTCCTAAATAATACTCAGTTGAAAGTATACGCTTTGGTAGTGATAATGTGGCCTGACTTAGCAAATCAATAAAAATCTCAAATTGCATAATCTCTGTAGACAATTTAGTCTTCAATATTCCACCTGTATTGGATGTGTTTGAGTTTAGGCTTTGGCAAGTCCTGTGGCTGCAGTTCCAAAGGCAGTCCAAATAAGACCCAGGTTCCTGAACTGAAAACAGTGTCTCCCATGTCCTCGAGTGCTACCTGCTGGGCCTTAAGCATTGTGCCTAATTATTTGCAGAACAGATATGTTGAAGTGGAAGTACCAGTTCAGTAAGGAATCTAAATAATAATTGAAGTGTCTAGAAGGTGAAAGTTCAAGGGAATTTCAGATGATGTCATCAAGGAGACTGAGATGATGGACAGAAACCATTGAAAGTGAGATACAGAGTCAGGGTGGGATAGAAGGAAAGAAACTGAGAAGTGATGGAAGATACAGAGGGATGGGGTTGGGTCATATAATTAGGAGTGGTCAAGACTGGAAAAAGGACAGTGAGGTGGAAGAGGACAAATGGGGAAGGCAGTGAGTTAATGCCATAATTCTATGCAGATCTGGTGTCCTGCTCACTGCACAACTGGGGCACAGGAAAAGAAACACAGTTTTTTAAGCTGTCACACTGGTGCAGGAGACAACTTGTCACAGTTACCTGGTGTTCAGATGCTGGGAGTGCCAGGAGTCCCAGCTGTGTGGATGTCGTTATGATGCCACCTACTGGGTTATGTTTTGAGATTGCACTCAAATTCACCAAAACCCGTTTGAGAAGAAAGCAATAATCATATAAGTGAGGACTTTAGCAACACATATGCAAAAGACTTAGTTATTGTTACAAGCAACCTATTTCTAACTTCACCTATAGTTTGAGTATCAGCTTTGCAGTGTTGATTATTTTGCTTCTGTAAAATACATGAAATAGAGAAAAGAATTTTGATAATAGACTAATTCTATTTTCATAGGTTGTGCAAATCCACTTGGGGTCACTGTTCTATATACAATAAGAATCCGCCTCTAGGATTTTCTTTTAGAAAATTGTATATGCAGCTAGATGAGGGCAGTCTCACCTTTAATGCCAACCCTGATGAGGTAAGTGAACTGTCGCTGACAGTAATAAACAGTTAAAATAATTGTGATTGTTGTTTTCTAATTATAGCCATATTAAAAGCCAAGTTTTAGTAGGTGTTTGTTTTACTGTAGGAATGGTTAATACTAAGTTACAGCCCTATCCTGATCTTTTTTTGCATATGGTATCTGTGCACATCATTTACATGGCTTGCCTCTTAAGCGCTCTGTACAGCGGTCTGACCTATGGATGCCAGAAATTCATAACCACATATTGACTTAGGAATGAGGCAGACATCCTAACTGGCGAGACAATGGTGAATTTAAAAAGGATAACGATATGTTTACATAAATTAAAATGCTAAAATACTTCTGCATAGCATGAGTTTGATCCCACTTCATTTAAAGCAGGATGAGGTATAAAGTAACACCAATTACTTCTATGGTTTCTTGTAAGGGATTTGTAAATATTTCCACTATCAAGGAGGAAGTCTTGAAGTATTATGAAAAAGATGTAGTGCTGACTTATCCTAAAGATCAGTTTCATTTGATTTCTGTGGATGTTTGTTATGCATAAACATAATCTTTCTTTATAGTATATAAAAACATATATTTATTTTCAAAAAATACCCAATGCCAACCTAAAAGGTTTCCATTTATTAATTCATGTAACTAACTGGAAAAGTCAGTTTCTGCTTTCGCTCTGTCACCTTTCAAAGAAGAAAAGAGTTTGAGAGTAGACAGCTTTTGCTTGGGAGATATGCAGTTAATGCCCAAGTGACAAAGAGAGTCATTTGTGTACAAAACCAGACTCCTGCTTCATGTTTCCTAGGGAATGAAGGTACACAGTACTCAACAAAAGGTAGTATTAGCTTCCTGCATATATTTATGCATACACAAGGAAGTGGTAATTGGATAAATCCAAAGTAGGAAAAGGATTAAGAGACATGGAAAGATAGACCTTCTAGGAGCCAATAGTTCACTCTGCTGATATGATAAAGAAAACATGAACTTGTGACCACGGGGTGAAATAAATAAAGCAGTTGTATGAATGATTACAATAATGTGATTTTGTTTCAATTCTTGCTTTATCTCATATCCTGCTTGATAAAGAAACCCACTACTTTTATTAGTCATAAATTACAGTATTTTGTAATTTATCTGGTAGAACTCTGCCTTGAATTGTGATATACAGTGCTGAGACGTCTTATCAGCACTTTGCCACTTGAACAATTAACATTGATTTTCAGCCGGATTTTAGTGAATTTAGTAATAAATGTAAAGCTTTTCAAATGAAACACAATATTTAGGTAACTTAAATGTGTTTTCAAGAATATATCAAGTTTTAATTGGTAACAACTTTGTCCACCCAAATTTTTCTTTGTCTTTCAATTTGTTTTCACATAGTTTTGCACTTACTATCTTAGTTTATAATATGCTGTTATATTCCAACCTAATTTAAAATAATATTGGAAGGTTTAAAGCATTTAGAGCCTTCACAAAAGGCACTGAATAAAAAATACGTTATTTTTAAAGGAAATTAAGATCTGCAAAATAGAGCTACTTTATAGTATACCTAAATTAAGTATTAAATTTATTTTGCTACACTTACTTCTTCTGGGTTCATTATGGTTATATTGTACAGTAGTAGTACAAACAGTCTGCTTCAGGCCTAGTGAGAGAAGAGAACCTCAGGGTATGTCCTAAGGGCTTCTGTTCCTCTCTCCCTGTGGAGCACCATAGCCTGGTAGGAATCATTCAGGGCCTGAGTTTCAGGAGAATTCACAAATACTATTGCTTTTATTGTTTACGACTGTGATATTGGCAGAATTATTATTATAAGGACACTGTGACTGGAATATATGATATGACATTCCACTATTACAAATTGTGTCTCCGAATTTCCTGCCAAACTCTGCTTTACATTTGATAACAGACCTGATCAAATTACTATAAAAATAGGAATACTTACAGCCACAGGAGCAAGATTCTCCAAAGGACACCGCCCATGTCATGAAAATGGGTAACCAGGCTCCACAGCAACAGCTCCAGAGCTAGCGGTGGCTCACGGGGTAGGGAAGAGCATCTACACACTTTGTGGTAGGATTCTCTGGTTAGCCATTGTTGTCTGCATGGTGTTGTGATATCTGCTGTAATTTAATGTATTGATTGTGTGCATGAGCTTGCATTATTCATAGCAGGTGCTCACATTCTGCTGAAAGGATGTGCCTAATAACATTACACATAATCTGGGGAAAAAAACAAAACAAAACAAAACCAACCTCCAGTGCATGTTTGGTTTCTCTTTTTTGTTTGTTTATTGTTTTTTTGTTGGTTTTTTTTTCATATGGCAGCACCATTGTAGCCAAGATTTTGGAACTTGGTTTAGTTTCTTTGGGGAGAGGGGGTGGTTTAGTGTTAGTATTAACACTTGAATGTGAATATTATGTTGTTTAATCTGCCTACATGGTCTCTGCTGTATTTTATTCTAAAGACTATATGGTGTATGTGAAATGTTTCTCATGCAGTGCTCATTTCATATCTCATATGCTTATGACTCAGAATTTGTAAGCAACCAGAAGTTATTTCCCACTGTTTTGCATACTGTTTCTAACTCCCTACAAAATATTTTGTCAAGTTTATTATGCGGAGCTATGCTATGTAGTTAAAACCAGAACTGAAGGTGGAAAAGAGAATCCTTTGGTCAGCAAAGAAGATCTAATTTTTGTTCCATTCTTAATAATTCTAACTGATGCTGTTTAATAGCATTTATTTGTGTGGATCTATTGGCATCTGGACTGTACCAAAACTCTCAGACTTTAATTAGGTCAGGATTTCCTTTATGTAGCATAATAACAATAAAGTACAGTAAGACAGTGCTTATACTGAGCCTGGTTTTCCACACTTCTGATTATCTCGTTCATTACCAACTGCCCTTAGTTTTTGCCAGGGAGATCAGTTTTCTGACCTTTTCTTGGTTAGAAATGAATTGTTACCTTACCTGACTTTTAATTATAGATAGTCTAGATGATGGAATATTTATTGTGCTGTATATTTCTAACCAAATTTTTTGAAATCTTACCCTATTTCATAATGATCTACTAAGCAACCCAACTTTGAGATGCATTGATTTATCTGTCCTAGGAATATTAAAAATATGTGTATGTTGTAGAGGGAAGAAGGTTTTTTGTGTGATTTATCTGAAACATTGGAGTGGACCAGACAGCTGAAACCTTTTGAAATCTCTACGTTAAAGTCAGAGAACTTTAAACTTGTGAATTATTATTTATGGATTCTGTGTAACACAAAATATTTCTACATTCTTCTTGTGATTTCTGCCATCATAAGTGTGTATCACTGAAACTGTATTTTAAAGACATACAGTGAAAGAGACACTGTTTGAAATGTATGTTGTATATTGTGTCCACATTTGTCACCAAATGACTTGATTTGTAACTTAGGAAGAGAATCTTAAAAATTTCTATTAGAAAATACAACATCAATACTGTGCATTTTGTTCCAGAAAATGCATCATGAAATATATTAAGATATTGCATTTCCCTAGAAAAATGAGAATAATAATACCATACATGTCTATTTATTTACTAATAATGTTACCTAGAAGCCCCAATTAGAAATTGAGGCCCTACGGTGCCAGATACTGTATATACAGAATAAAATGACAGTCACTGCCCCTAAAGAATTTATCTAAGTAATTAAGCTAGTATTTAAACTTGAATTCCTATCTTTTCTCAGCTTTTATGTAAGAACGTTTTAATTTGGTTGGTGATCAAAATGCCTTTTTTTTATTACAGTACAGACTAGAAAGAAATCGGCATTTTATCTTGATACTTATGTAATCCTACCAAAATGTAAAAGTATGTAACTCACAGTATTATAAATCACCTAAAAATGTTAATATGCTACTAGTGATTTCTTTAGTCACCCTTTAAAACTATTTAAGCTAAACAAATAGACTATGCCTGCATCTATTTATGTGACATTTGAAATTTCAAATATTAAGTGAAATTTGTCTTTATTGACTATATTTGTCATATATTTTCCTGCACTACTTTTAAAGCACATTAGGTAAAACACTTTGTTGTCTCCCAACTCTGATTTTGCAAACAATTCCATTTAAATATTAAAAATAGAAGTCATGTATATGTGGAGAAAAATACTGATTCCAAAATTTCGTCTCATTTGTTCTGCATGCATATCTAAACAGAGATGTCAAAGGCAACTATAAAAGTTTTAACGTTGACTGCTGTACTGAAATGTTCTGAAAGTACTCTTAGCAGAGAATAAAGTCAATGCAGAAATGAAAACATTACTGAAAAAGAAAACTTTTCAATTTTCGATATCCTGTATGGTTATAATTATATGAATGGAAAGACTCTTGGGAACAGGTAGAAATCAAGCTAGGAGTGTCAGTGCTGTAATAGGTAGAATAGGTTCATAAAACAAGCATCACATGACTGGAAAAAAAAGGAGCAACTATAAAAAAATAGCATATTGAAATACAAAGAATGTTTTTTGCTGTTATTATTAGTCTATAGTTATGATTGTTATATGCATATATGATTTAAATCAACACTTTCATACATTAAGATTTTATCCAGAGCTGTCTGAAGTTCGGCGATAACATTCTTGCCACAAAGGCAAGGTATCCTTAAGGCATCTTTCCTAATTCTCTAATGCTAAGAACATTATAGTGACAAGCAGGCTTCTCCTGTAAGTTAGGGAGACACAGAGCTACTGGAAGTCTTGGCTGTTGTACTGTTCACATAACTACTCTCTGACTAGATCAGAATTAGAAGAACGTAGCGTGTCTGCTCATCCTGCAGTGTTTCCTAAGTGTTAAGAAGGCCTCTTCAGCCCTGATAGGTAGTGGCACAGATCTGACTACCTGACTTCAGTCAAATGATTCCTAAGAGAATCACCAGATGACTGAGAAATAATCTTAGCATAGATTTTAATACTTATTTGAGCTAGTATACCCTCCACAAGTGACCATTTTAGCTACCAAAGGTGATTTATTAGAAGCGTGGATTCTGAGAGGATTTCAAGGCAGTGTTTACAGTGTTACAAAAAGCAGATTCGATGACATGCCGTATATCTTGTAAATAATTTCATTTGCTGTGAGCCAAAATTTAAGAACTTTAACGAGAAATCAGGTTTCAGTTGTTGCAAAGTATTTGTGGTTGCTTAGGAAGAAATAAAAAGCAACTAAAAATGATGGCATATGCTGAAGTATATTTTATTTATACTCTGTTTATTTGTGAAGGAGATGAGGAAAATGAATAATGAGACTGCATTCACAGAAAAATATATTGTCAATCATTATGTATGGTAGGGGGAGAGAGAGGGAATTAGAGGCAGGGAATATAAATGCTTTGCAAAGACACGGTAGCCTGTCAGGTGAAAATCCTACAGTGAGTAGAAATCTAGTGCACAAAAGAAATTAGTTACAGCATTTACTGTCACAGAGAAACCAACTCATTGCCTGTCTTAAAGAAGGTCTTATTTTCATCCTGACTTATCTATGACGTACCAGGTATTTTCTGGATATGTTGCAGAAGTGTTTGTTAAATAGGAATACTACTGAGACTTCCTCGCCCAGCTTCAGTTCATATTACCTGAAGCAAATACTTATTATTGAAGCAAGTGCATAAGTCTCATTAAGTCAGGATATATGTAAAGGTGATGTTCTGCTGCTAGTCTTGTATAAATTGCCAAAATACCTGAGGAATTAATATGCAGTTGATGTTCATTTTGATGTCCCAATTTTAGTTTCCTATTTAGCTCTAATTCAAGAAACTACTTAACCTTATATTATCCATCCATATTATGGACAAACTTAAATGTGATTAATTTGGACATAAATGCAAGCTTGTAGTGCAATACATGTTTCGTTACAGTCCTAAATAAAGATTCTTCTTAAAATCGGGGCCTAAAATTGCTAGGATTTTTTAATTTATTTATTTTATAAAACATTATTTTACCCAAGAAAAAGTATGCTGATTAACTGTCATTTTATAGAAATATATAAGCAAAAATTATGGACTGATAAAAACAGCTGGATAATATTACAGGTGTTTGTTGGCTTTTCACTTGTGTTATCGATATCTTAAGCATATATTCTAATTTCTTTTTTGCGTGATATAACTGAGACTTTGCTTTACTAATCCACTTCATAAAACAACTCTCCAAACCTGTACTCAGTCCTTTATTTCTTTTTTAAGCAAAATTGAAGAGCAGTAGGAAGTTAGTTTATACACTGAATGACAGGTTGCCCCTACATCTTTATATATGTAATGTGAACTAAAAGGGCAGACTTGCAAAATATTGTGAAGTCTGATATCAGAAGACTTAGGAAAAAAGATTTCAGAAATATTTTAAAGGTGATTTGGGTTGTGGCCTTGGTATAGAAATGCACTCTCCTATACATTTTATATTATTCCAACATTTTAGTATAGTCAAGAGGGACTGTACTTGTAACACTTGTTTGTAACAAATGCCTAGAACCACTCCCAGCCCCTGCCAAATTGAAGTGAAACTAGTTGGTTAGTTATTCTCGGGATTGGATTTTCGTTGTTGAAAAATTCAAACATTTTTAAAATCCATTAGGTTGATTTTGATTTCTGAGGTCATAAGGAAAATAGTTTTAGGCTTTGGGATATTTCAATGAACAGAAAGAATCCAGAATATCACCGAAATATTTTTAAATTAAATTTGGCTTGTGTATTCTATAAGGAATGTCTCCTTGGTAAAGTGTGGATAATTCTGGAAATCATAATATGAATATAAAATATGCACAATTGTTCTATCTTTTTAAACCTTTTTTTTTTAACCTTAGGCACAATGTTCTTATTTATGTGTATGCATATTTATATATGTTGATATTTACCTATGCTTTCAAATCAGTGTGCTTGTGTTTATTTGCATTATTACACATTTAAACAAATGCATTTAATGCATCTATTTGAATGTGATACATCATATACGTGTGAGAACATTAGTGTTTTAATGAAAGATATTAAAGACTAAACACATCATGGCTAAGATTTTCTTATTTACGAAATTAGAAATTATGGTCCCCACAGCATTTTAAATACAATTACAAATGTATGAAAACCAAAATACTAGTCTACACTGTAAAGAAATTATAAAAGAACCAACATGCTTGTTATGGGGTTCATAATTTTAAATTTCCTACTGTGAGTGTATGCAAAGTCTCAATTATAAGAATAAATTGTTTCTTTGCATTTGATTTATAATTTTAGAGTGTATTTTGCATGTTGAACTCTGATATAGGGGAAGAGGAATCATTCTGAAAAACAAACCAACTAATTAGTAGGATTATGTTCCTACATTGCCAAGTACAATACTTGTTCCTAAACACATTATGGAGATTAAACATATTTATACATACATGTATTTTATCTCAGGGAGTCAACTACTTTATGTCCAAGGGCATACTAGACGATTCGCCAAAAGAAATAGCTAAGTTCATCTTTTGCACAAGGACACTAAATTGGAAGAAGCTGAGAATCTACCTTGATGAAAGGTAATTTGAATTTCTCGAGACATTTCCTATTCATTTTCAATGTACAGCACCATTCAATGATATTTTGCTTGTATTGATGTAATTTTAAAGATGTGAAAATGCAAGGAAATGCAACAAAGTAATGCTGCTGCTAAATCTGAACAGTTTTTCAATTTGAGCATTTATGTGAACGTAACATTTTATAAGAACCCCTGAAAATTCCACCTATAACTAGTAAATCTCACATCCTGTGCTTTTTCTGCATTTTTGCAGTTCTGGGCATAAATTGTTTTGAAGTTATAGCAAGCATTTAAACTGCACAGGATAATCTTTGTGCTGTATGACATTCAGATTTTATAGATATTTTGCTGCTTTTTTTTTTACTTGTGGTTTCTTTTTTTTCCTATTTAGTATGGGTGTTAATCAGAAAAAGCAGTTATTACTTTACCAAGTGACAGTAGCTTTTTGACTAATGTTAAATCATCTAACCACGGCCTGGTATTTCTCAAATGGAAGTCACACCCGCCTCCTAAGATGCAATAGAGCATCCTCTTGGAGACAGCATGAGCTGCAGTAGGGAACATTCTCCCTGCTGTAGCATGCTTTTCTACCTCCACAATGCTTTCTCTTGCCCTCCAGGATACCTTCAGGTTGGGCTAGTGCAGTATCAGGAAAGAGGAGCACCAACACGTTCAAGCAAAGTTGAAAGAGGAGGAGAGTAATAACTGGACCTATATAGGAAGAGCAGAGGGACAGCAGCGCTTCTAGCAGGAATCCTCTCCTGCTTCTCATCCTCCTCAGCCTGTACCACTAAAGGAGTGAAAGGGCTCATTCTGCAGTGTTATCACCACTGACAGTCCCGTGCTGTAAAACTTCAGATCATCATTTTTTTTGGCAATAGAAAAACTACAAAACCATTTAACGGATGAGATTGCAAGTTAATATTAGCAGCCCCTACTGCCATTCATCTTCCCTTCATAAACAGAGTGTTAATCAGGCACTAAAAATAAAAACTAGGTTTCTAAATGTTGAAACTCCCCTCTTAGTACTGAAATGTTTAATAGAAAGGATAAACATACAAGAATATTCTTTGGTTCATTTCAAATTTGCTTCCAAATTCCCTTCAGATGTCTTTTGCACATCTGTTCATGTAGACTAATGTGAATCCTTTAGACATTTCTGTGTTCAGTGGAAAATGCTTGAGAGCATAGCACCCTGATGGACCTAGACTTTAAAGAGGTTTTGTAAGCAAGTTTTATCTAACTTAAGCCTGGTTTTAACAAGATACTGCTGTAACAGCTTCTACTTAGGCACCAAAATGTGTGACACACATGAATCTATTCCCTTTACTGTCTTTTTTTAATGGCTTTGTCAGTTTAAAGGAAGCAAATCCTCTACATAGACTATGATTGGATATGCATGTAAACAAACATAGAATTCCAATTAACATATAATTTTATAGTATTTGACTACTATTGTGTCTGAAGAAGGTGTTTATGTTATTTTTGTGCTGTTATCGATAATTGTCTTTCAGCAAACAAAGTTCATAAACTGTTCTAAAGCTTTCGGGTTTATTTTTAAAATCTACATTTTCATATTTACAGTTAAAAGAAACTTCTCTAATTATATGGGATTTTATTCTACCAGGCGAGATGTTTTGGATGACCTTGTGACGCTGCACAACTTCAGAAATCAATTCTTGCCAAATGCACTGAGAGAGTTCTTCAGACACATTCATGCTCCTGAGGAGCGTGGGGAGTACCTTGAGACTCTCATAACAAAGTTCTCTCACAGATTCTGTGCTTGTAACCCTGATTTGATGAGAGAGCTTGGCCTTAGCCCTGGTAAGCAAAAAAGAGCTTCGATTCAGTGGATCAATCTTTGTATTTCTGGATGATGCTACTGTTTATGATAGTATTAAAATGGGCACCTAAACAAGTATTTGTGAAAGTACAAATGTGGCTTGGGAGGGTTCAGTATACAGGCATCATCCCACTCGGGTTGAAAAAACCAAAAAATAACATACAGATTCTTTTCTTAGACCTAGCTGATAAATGGGTTTTATTTTTGTGTTATCTTTCCTTCACTTTTATCTGTGCTTAAGCTCAGTAGTATCTCCAAGTTCCCTCTTGCAAAGACTTACACACTTAACATTTTACCCTGTGGATAGTCCCACAGAAATGAGAGGGAATTTGGGGCCTCACTCCAGTTAACAAGCATTTCTAATTTGTTGAGGAGTAGCCAGTTTTCAGCAGTGGGACTACTTACATATTTAAAGATAAGCTTTAGCAGGAGGTTGGTCTTAGTTTACCAGAACTTCAAGAATCTGTTTAAATGAATCTGCATAAAGCCCTTAGCGACGTTGGGATAATGTCAAAATATTAAGAGATTTGTAAATGCTCATTTGGCAATGTGCTGACGTTATTGCTTTGAAAAATGCTATATTAAATTTTATTTCACTGGGATACTCTTTTGAGTTGTTATATATATGTGTGTGTGTATATGTATACATATAAAATATAATTATAAGCCCAAATGATGAAGACTGTAAGGTTCTTGGACAGGGAACAATATTTTTAATGATCACAGTTTCCTTTTTAATTTTTTTATTTTATTCTCTCTTGTCTAGATGCAGTATATGTACTGTGTTACTCTTTGATTCTACTTTCCATTGATCTAACAAGCCCTCACGTGAAGAACAAAATGTCAAAGAGGGAATTCATCCGAAATACACGACGAGCTGCACAGAATATTAGTGAAGATTTTGTAGGGCACCTTTATGACAACATCTACCTTATTGGCCATGTGGCTGCTTAAAAGCACAATTTGCTAGCACTTAAAATTTGTAATTTTCAAAAACTACATCAAGAAATTAATTATTTTGTAGAGATGGGGGTTATTTTAGTGCTGGTCATTCTAACCTCTGTATGCAATCAAAGTTTGTGTGTGTAAGTGTGTGTATGTGTAAACTACCTTTTCTATCTATTTACCGTGGGAACAAAAGGATTTGGAGATTTGTTCTTCATAATTTTTTAGTTTTGCACAAAACAATGCCATTAGTCTGACACAGCCATTTACGAATGTTAAACTGACATTACAGTCTAAGCTGACAAAGTGGTGAATTTGTGCATTAGATCTGCTTGAAACTTTAATAAGTTCATTCTTTTTAGAATACCATGTAATGTGTATATATTTAACTAAAGAGATTTATAATCATAATTATTTTATTGTAAAATATTTTAACTAAAATTTCTCCTTTTCTCTCTTAAAATAGTGTTGTACTTACTTCTTTTGCATTTTTTTTATAATGGTGACTACCTCAGATAAGTTAGAAAAATATTGGTCTGAATACTACAATAAAGTTTATTCTAGGAGATGACAGAACACTTGTGAAATATCTAAGCTGATATTTAATACTACATTGACTAACTTGAATTAGCATATTGCCAATCTGATATTCGCTCAATTTTAAAGAAGATTACAACCTCTGTTTTAGATGAACCCTGATGTCATATAGGGATAGCCTAGGGAAACGGTGCAGTTTACATCGAGAGAGCTAACCTATATTGCAGACTCTAGTTACTGGGGACATAGGACAACTGCAATCATCTCCTCTGTGAAGAGGAAAAAAATCTCAACAGGGAAAGCGGTAGGGGTGGCTAACATGTTGCTGCTTCCCTCAGTCTGTAAGTGTCAATGACGGCAATGCCCAGGCAAATATACACCAGATGACTCATTGCTAAAGCTGTTAAAAACTGACTCTGCAAGATTAGAGCAGTGACTGTGCAGGACTGGGGAGCCGTTTCAGGCTTAGATACTGAATTACCCTTTGTAAATCTGTCATGTATCTAGATTTTAAATAGTTATAGATTTAAGAAAATACTTCAAAAATGGTTTCAGTCAGGTTGTGTCTTACATTTTCTGAAGTGTATGGAATATTAGCAGTGCAACTGCCATGCATGTGCAGGAATTGAATGAGAATTTGCCCAATTTTCAGATAACTCATAGGGCAGTGCTTTTCTTAAATTGACCTAACATGTAGTTGAAATCAGAGCTGTTCCTGATTAAGTTTGTTTACATAATACTTAGCTATCACTAGCATCTGGATTCATCATGGTAACAAGTAGATTTATCCTTTTTCCCTACCACACCATGACATGAGGTAGGAAGATACTCTTAGTTCTGTTTCACAGATTAATCTGATTTTTTTTATGTAGGAAGCCTATGGCAGAGCCAGGAATGGACTTCAGGTCATGCTCCTCGTAGGCACGCACTTTGCCCACACTGCTGCTTTCCGTTTGGCACCAGGGCAGTGTTACATTTGTCTTAGATAAGAGTGATGACAATGACAGTCCACATAAGGGCTACATAAATGAAGGGGAGAAAAAAATGTAACTACTGCTCTTTTTCAAGTGGTTAGTACATTTTGTTTATAGCTCTGGTCCACATGCAAAAGTGCATCCAGAAAAAGCTGTATTTTTTTAATTACATTACCTTTAATCCAGTGTAAACGCCATTTGTGTTTACACTGTGTAGCATATGCAGCCAAAGCCAGGAGCCAGCAGTATTGCAGCTATCTTCTAGGCAGGTTTTACAGTATCACTCCCCTCTCTCAGGATAACTTCACTTCACCCTGTGTCATTTTACATATTTCAGAAAGCCCAAGGATGCATTCCACAGTGGTCAATTAATCTCAAACACAAATAAAAGAGTATATGGTATGTTGGGGAGCTTTGTTTAAGGCACAGATATCTGGTCCTGTGAGAGAGAAAAAAAAAAAAAATGGAAAACTTTTAAAATAATTTGTAAAACCAACAATTAGTGTCCCTGCACTCCTTAAAGTGCTCTTACATGAAGGCTGCAGAATCTGGCTTTCTAGAAAACAGTCCTCAGAAGTTACACACTTAAAAAGAAGAATTCAGTGAATTTTGAAATTACAACTAATCTTATCAGGAAGCATTTTCTTCTCCAACCGCAAATGCAGAGCGAGAGCTAATTCTCTTCTGACTGGTATTTATGTTGGCATTAGTGATACTGGTTTTGGTTTTGCACTGGTGCAAAAGTACAAATTGTTAACCTGCATTTCTCCTAATTTCCAGTTACCCTCAGTTGCCATCCCCAAAGAGACAGAGGACAAAGCCTCTAGGCAGACAGAACGTGTTTTTTCTGGAATAGACAAGTACATTTATTAACAAGGTTTAGAAAGCCTCAAGGCCAGTGTAAGAACCAAGACAATTAATTATAAACAGGATGCTATAATTAAGGTTTCTGTAAGACACAAGTCCAGGGGAAAAGAACAAACAAAACAAACCCAAACCCTAATCACATGCAGATAACAGCATCTGATGTTCGTAATCGGATTTTGAACGATGTTAGATGGTTAGCGCCCAAATCATGCTGTACGTTATGTTACTAACTCGGAGTGGAACAGAAAACAGCAAACAACGTGCCAAGTGTGAATTCCCATAGAGGTAACCAAGAAACAAAAAATTACAACAGACATTTCTTTTGTCCTTTTTTGAAGTTTGAGTCTTTCTCCAGAGTGGCAGAGAAGTAATTTTTTGCATTTTAAGAATATAGACTTTTCATGAAGTTAGGCAACTGTCTTAAAAGAAAAATCTTAAGCAGGTGTAACAATACTCTTAGAAAATGAGAAAGATAAAGTTTGAATTCTCTTAGTCATCCTCCAAAAGTCCTCTAAAAACTAAGTTTTGGGCAAGTGTCTTCTTCAATGCACTATTGCTGTCTCCACGTACGTTTTAAAAGAAAATATCAATACATACTTCAGTGGTCCAGGTGTCACTTAAGTGCGCTCGCTGATGTCATGTGGAAATAGCTACTTGATCAAGCACTTTGGAAGACTTGGATAGAGGATCCCAAGCCTAATTACATGAGAATGACCATACCTGTAACTGCAAAGTGATTCCCAAGCTAGCATGTGATTCCACATCCTTTGAACCTTGGCCGCGTGATGTTGCCTTCACACTTTACTGTGCACCGAAGGAAGAGAGGAGCCTGCAGCCCATCCCCTTGCAAACCCTTCTTAGTCTGGTCCTAAAAGACACTAAAGTTGTGTTCTGAATGGCCATGTCTGAAATTTTGCTAATTTTAGTATACACAGATGTGACAGAAGGACAACTGTTCTTTGTTTGCATAGGGGAAACAAGTGTACCTGTGTCCATATAAAGTGTCGCATAATACAGCTCATTTGGGGCTGTATTAAATTCCAAGACTCTCACTGCATTTATTCAAGGCATAATGGCGTATATTACATATTCATGTGGCTTAGTTATAGTCAGTGTCTGATATTCTCCATTTTCTCAAAACTCTTTTATTTCTGTCTTGAATACTTTCCATTCATACTCTAAACAACAGATTTATACAGCTTTGGCTTTTTAAAATAAATCAAAGCTGCTTCAACATACAAAAGCCCAAACAATTGTAAGCTAGAGACACGTTTGTTAATTTTTCAAGTGGGCAAGAAATTCGCATTCAAGAAAAAAAAAATCAGTTTGGTCTCTCCAACCTTTCCCTCCCAGCCTCCACTGGAAAAAGAAAAATTACCGTCACTTTCAAAATACAGATTTAGGAAAATAAACTGCCTAGCTGGGCAAATAAATGTTACTATTTCCTCTTCAGCTTACTGCAGTTTGTTAATGTTCTCTACGTAAACAAATTTATCAACAGGAATTGCTCTTTTTTTGAAGTGGTAATAGTTTTGTTCTCTATGTAAGGTTGTCATTGTGCAGTCTGATATTTTTTATAGTTCTGTTTTTAGAAAACAAGTATTAAATTATTTTAAGTGCTTAAGCAAAATTGAGGTATACCTACTTGATCATGTTAAAATGTGAAAATCACAATACTCAGTATTTAGAAAAGTCAGGTTTACTTGCCTTATAGTGGATTGGGATTTTTTTTCTTGTCACATATTTCATGTAAGTATCAAAACTAATAAACATTAAGGCTGACGACTTCTTCTCTGCCATTGTAAAATCTACCGCTCTAGCGTCAGAAGCACTATTAAAATGGACAAAGGACAGACTTAAAGGATTTCCTGTGTCTCCCATAGGCACATTATTGTTTCGTTTTGCCTTAATATACAAACTTTCATAATCTACATATAATAGTGATTTTAGTAAGGTAAAGTTTTATGTGATCTTCTAATATTATTTATCAGGTGTTAAAAATCAAGACTTACCGTATGATGAGTGTAATTAAATCATAACCAGATAGCTAGGATTAGTTACAGAAATGAATGTATATGTAAAAAACTTCAGAGATCACATTGCTCCTTCATCACTTCAGTGCTTTTGCTGACAATGATGTTAGTAGATTTGCAGTTTTCCTTTCTTATTCATATAAACAAACTTAGAGAAAAGATAGAGTAGAAAATATTTACACAGAATATTTCCATTCCTTATGTGAAGTTTTCTTGCATTAAAAAGGAACTCTCTGTATTTGCTTTATAATTTTAAAAAGAAAAAAAAACAAAACTACAATTCACTGAAAGAATGAAGAGGCTCTAATTTTCAGTTATGTGGTTCATTCGTAGCACCTAATACAGAAAATGAGCAAAAAGCACTATTCAGATTTCTAGCAATCCAACAAATGCATGATTTTTTAAGCTTAAAAATACTACTTATTGAGTATGTGTACATGACAGAAATCAAACATATTTATGTGAAAGCAACATGGTCAGGATACCAGTTCTTTTGAGAGAGAGTATTCATTTGTAAAAGTTAGCTTTCTTCTTGGCACTGTTGGAGAGGAATGTTGGATTTAATTTAAAATGATTAATGAGATTTTGTCAGACTCCCTGCCTTTACCACCACTGCAGTTTGTCAGCACAACAACCTGGGAAACCCGGACGCCACTCTGTCGCCCAAAACAGCTTTCCAGGAAAAAATAAACCTGAGTAACTAGTGCCAGGTACATGTCAATGGTATTGTCTTTCAGCTGTTGACAGTTTAACTCGAAGTTGGGACATTTACACATTCTGAGGAAGTGAACCTCATTCGTTATTCCAATAGCCTGGTTTTGACAGTGGATACCAGTATAGACTGAAGTTTTCAGAGCAGGCATGGCCTTTATTATTAACCTTATGGAAAATCCAATAATCTATGCAGATAAGAACTTCTTTAAAAGAAAAAAAAAAAACCAACCCAACCCAAAACTTGTTCAGGTAAGTTTTCCTGGAGAAAGACCATCTATGCAACCTGTCTGCTTTTCGGCTGTATTACATTAGGAGGATCTCATCCTCTGAGCCCGACG